CGGCGAGGTCGAGCCTCGCCCAGGCGGCGAGGGCTGCGACGCCCTCGTTGGCCCTGGCCTATGGCCGATCGCCGGCGGATGACGTGGCCGAAGAACAATAACAACCAAAAAAAATAAAAAAATTAAGAAGAATCAGTTCTGAAAAAATTGTTCCAGAATCAAGAAGCTACTTTTTTTTTTTTATTGTTGATTCTGTTCCAAAACTGATTTTAGGCACAATTTTGCAAAAATTGTGTCCGGGCACAAAATTTAACAAACGAATTTCTGTTCCCAAACTGATTCTGGGAACAAAAGAACAGAATCAATCACTATTTGGCAAGTTACCAAACATGCCCTAATTAGTGTGGCTCAATGAAATCCGATCTCTTTTCAGTATATCAAAACTCGATTCATCGGTAGATCGCTAAATTTCTCGATGCATAGATGAACTGAAAACCAAAACCTTGTAACCATTAGCCGATAAAAGGTGTTGAGCTATGTAATCACGCGGTTATATAGGCCCGGTCGACTCGACTGCGTACATACATAAAACAGAAGAGGTTCCGAATGTGACCGCCGCGTCTCACGGTCACGCGACAGGGAAATGGAGGACGACGATGCCCAATATACAGCATTTTACGGTGACATTAAGCAGCTACTCGATTCAGGCGGGCAAAGTTCGACAATCTGTAAGATTATCTAGAGACAAGCCACGGTAAGATATCATGTGATCAGAAAAATGTTGTGAGAACCACCTTTGCTTCAGCAATGCGATCCCGGAAAATTCAATCGGGTCTTTTCTAGCCAGTTCAGTGAGACTGTTTTCAGAAGAATTGAGGCAGCAACAGATCTAGAATCAAATGAAGTGACCTTTCATTACAGCACCAAATGCAATGCAAGAATTGAGAAATCCAGAAGCAAAAAGGAGAACACAAACAAGCTTGCTTCATGAGCCGTGACTGGAAGTACGTATGCATAGCCACCGACAATGCAAAACGTTAAACCAAGAATCAAAACTTTCTAATCTAAAACTTGGATTTATCTTTCTTTCGGTCCAACTTAAATCCTACTTATCTTTCTTTCGGTCCAACTTAAATCCTACAAACAACTTTACTTGTTCATGCAGCCAAGCCTTCATCACTCATAGTTACTGAATTGTCTACTTGAACAACAATCAATTGACTAGGGAAATTTCAGTGCTGTGCATCAGAGGAGATTTACTCCCAGGCAAAGTTTTGTCAGTTTGTCTTATGTCCAAAAGATTTACTGTGGTGATCATCTCCTGTTCATCTGATGGCAATTGCCAACATTACTGGCCAGAGGTCCAGCAGTGTAATCTCTGATCATGTTTAAACATAAAACACCTCTTTAGCTTCAAATCTGTTACAACACAACCTCAAAACGCGTGTCCCTGATTAAAAAAAACCATTTTATCGGAGAAAAGAAAAGTAAGGATTCTCATGAAAAATAACAGCTAGTGTGAAAGGCAATACCGTCAGGCCTTAGAACTTTGAGAAGAACTTCTGGGCATTCACATCTTTGAAGATCATGAGTGACATCAATTTTGAGAACACCAGCAACATAAACGCCATTGAATGCCAGTTTTAGCTTAAATATTTCTTTTTTCTTTCTTTTGCAATTTAGATAGGTTTAAGCAAGCAGCATACAAACCAGATATTCCTGCGAAGAACAGTAGTAATTCTACCTACAGAAGAAATTCATAGACATAACACAGGTCAGTGCATGGGCGGAAAAAATGCTTTAACTTTCGAAGCTAAGATAACTTGCAGTAAAACCTTTCAAGTGCAAAAAAGCAGTAGTCTGCAGCAACAATAATCGTGCCTATTTTACTTTCCTTAGGGTTTCTGCCAATGTCATTCTTTGCAGTGATTCGCGTATAGTCAAATAGTCTAACAAGATAATTTTGGGGTCATTGTCTCACATGACCAGACCAGCTTAAACAAATATATTTTATGTCTCGTTCTCCTCAGATGGTACCAATGTTGTGCCATGCCCAGCCAGTCACAACTTTGTCTGCCGCGGTACGCTTCCATCTAGCAATCATCTTAATCCAAGTTAAAGCATTCAGTAAGCATGTTGACATCCAATTGTCCAACCCTCCCCATCATAAGAAGCATAATTCGCTTCATCCAGCTTTGAGAACTTATCCACAACAAAACACTTGATACATCCCATTTCAGTCATTACTTTCCATACTTCCAATCCTTGCTCTCATTTCGACCTACTTAAACTGACTTATGTTTTAGATCTTTCCTTTATAATTCAAAGATTCATTTGTTTCTCTCATTCAAGCTATATGATTCACAAAACATTAGGGAACTAAGCTGTGAACTGTAAGCATGTGCCTCACTAGAGTGAAGCAGTAAGATCTCAGCCAAACTCAATATATGTTTATCACCTAATGAATTCCTCCATTGGGCCCCCTCCCTCCAAAATCTATATGCATTCCATGACAAAGAGTTGCCATGTATAAGTTTATTTCTTCCATTACCAAGCTAATTAGATGGAATGGGGACAACACATGAAAATCATGTGCTTGTTATACCCTCAATCTGGCTTATGGTATTGTTATACTTTTGATTGCAATCCAATAACACCACCAAGTTCCAGAACACCATCTCAACATCACAGTCCAGCTCTAGCATCTGCTAACTAATTTCAGAGATGAATTAAAAGGGCACTATATCAGAGAATAGGAACCTATAACACTTCAAATTGACTGCTATTCAAAACTAAAATAATCAGACACTGGTTACTACTCATATTATTTGAAGAAAAAAATAGAGCTATTGCACCAATGTTGACATCAAAGAAAGTGCAAAAGTTATTAGCATCCAAGATCGTGGAAACAAGTTGAGCTTGGATCCAGATTGAGGCAGGTCAGAGCCCAGGAATCAATAGCGACACACTGACACACGTCACAAGAAAGTCCCACACATTTCAATTGTTCAGATGACGACAACTACTAGCCAACCTTTTTCTCCCATGTGGGTCAGCAGTTGGAGACAAAAATAATGCACACCATTATAATTCATTTTGTACTATCTATACGATGAGATTCAAATACTCAAGATCTTCCCTTATAATTCCATGACACCATCTTAACATCACAGTCCAGCTCTAGCATCTGCCAACTAATTTCAGAGATGAATTAATAGGGCACTGTATCAGAGAACAGGAACCTATAATACTTCAAATTGACTGCTATTCGCATCTAAAACAATCACACACTGGTTACTACTCATACCATTCGCAGACAACGATGGCACTATTGCACCAATGTAGACATCAAAGAGACTGTGAAACTTATTAGCATCCAAGATCGTGGAAACAAGTTGAGCTTGGATCCAGATTGAGGCAGGTAAGAGGCCAAGAATCTATAGCGACACACTGACACGTGACAAGAAAATCCCAAACAATTTTAATTGTTCAGATGTCGACAACTACTAGCAAACCTTTTGTCTCCCATGTAGGTCAGCAGTCAGCGACACAAATTATGCACACCATTATACATTATTTTGTATTATGTATCCGACGATATTAAAAAACTCTAGATCTTCCCTTACAAATGCTTTCCCTACCCCTTTCAAAAATACATCCCCACACAATAGCAGAGCTTCTAAAAGACGTTTCATGTGTCCTGACCTCCTCAAACAAGCTTTTCACATCCTTCCCTTGATTGAGGTAATAACATTTATTTTCTCAAATATATCCTTTTAGGATTTTATCTTTTCTTGAGTACTACTAGAATCAACAACGCATTTTCATCCTAGTGCAATCTTTCTGTATGTAAATTGGCAATTTGGGAAAAAAAAATAGTTATGGACCAATCCGCAAAATATAGTGTAGTTCACACAAGGATTACCAATGATTCTACAAGAATAATAGAATTCACTGTATTCCTAAAAATCATAAACTTCAAAATGCCAGAGTCACTTGGAACAAAACTTTTGATGATTTCCAGCTTCGTCAACCAAGATTTAGCAAAAACTAAAACAATTGGAAAGTGAAAGGGATCTTGTGCAGCAATGGAGGATTAAGAAAAGGCACCATCATGTTAACATGCATAAACGCATTTGTTCATAGCCATTTAACCTCGTGCTCCACACAGTAGGCAGCTTGTGAAACAATATCCATGTCCAAAACACAAACATATAAACCTCGGACTTATGGAAGATTAGACAAGCCTCTTGACTCAACTAGATATCCATGATAGGAACTATTAAAAAACAAAAATTTCCCAGGCTTGAAATTGTGGATGACCAGACAACAAGTAAGAAAGAGGCACCATGGAATCTGATGTATTCAAGCAATCGCTATACTAGGAAGAATAATTAACACATACAACATTACCAAGTTTGAAGTTTTGGAAGATTTGAAAATCTCCTGATTCAAAACCAAGCAGTCTAAATAACCTACTGAAAAGAATCAAAAAGACAACGCTGAAATATTCTAGAGTTATGTGATGCAAGACTTATATCTTTGCTGATGGAGAGGGATTTGAACCCCCAGTTTTCCTATCAATACTTTGGTCAATGGAAAACATCCTAGATAAAAGAGAATCATGGGGCAATATTGGAGTTCTCTATGTGTGGAAAAGTCAAAATGATTGATGCACAGAGAATACACAATTTAACCCGTAGTCAATAGCAACTCTAATAAGGACTTATCATCTCCTGAATAATGAAAAAGAGTCAAGTTATCCCTCAACCAACCTATTAAGGACTTGATTTAATCACAAGCTTGCAAGAAAAAACGTCGTCTCCTTACGAAGAAGCAACGTGTATAAGACTCACACAATTGAAAGAATAGAAACAGATCTAATTCAAGGCCAATTATATCCTATCTTACACTGCTAAGAAATCCAGAAGGTTGCAATAGCAAACTAATTATTGATAGAAAGACAGGAGTTTGCTTGAACAGCATTCATACATTCCCAAAGCTAAAATATGCAGCAGAGGATATGAACAGACTTAGAACAATTTAAGGAGAGAAGAAAAGGCACAAATCCAGCGGCTAAAGATATATCACAAGTTAAAACCAAGTACATGAGAGACATTACAAGATGAGGCTCAACAACAAGAAACAGACCATCATATATTGCCACTCATCTAATAGCGGAATATCTTCTCTTTTTTGCAATAAACATCTACTACTGGAATTTGAGTAGCACCGCTCCACTGAATAATTAACGGCGGCTACTAGCCACAGAAGGAAAGCTGCATTTCATGTTGATAAAATCAGAAAGGACTCCGACCAAAAAAGAAAAAATTCAAAAAGGACAAGACTCACCTGGCTATCTATCTAACTAAAGTCAACACCCATCTCCTTTCGTTTCAATTCTAAAGCCATACGTTCATTCTCAAGCTTCATCTTTTCATTTTCCATCTTCATCTTTTCTAATTCGCGGTCTCTTTTCCTGCAAAATCTCTCCCATTTGAAGCGCTGTTTCTCCAACTCCAACATCTCGTATTGAATTTGTAACTTCTGTTCTTCAAGTTGAAGTGAATGAGATTCATTCAACTGCTTCTGTAACCAACCCGCCCTATTCTCTGAAAGAGTTTGATTCATATCAGGATGTACAACATGAGAATGGGAATGGGAGCTTTTGTTGTACTCTTGAACATTCAAGGAAGTCCCAAAACTGAAATCTTCATGGCCTTGGACTTGCTTCATCCTCTTTGCAGAACCCTGCAAAACCCCACACATTGCCCTGCCATCGCCATGAGGAGCATGATTATCCTCATGTTCGTCATGATCATCATTATCCACATCTTGATCATCCTCATCAAAGTCATCAAGGCTGTTTCTTCTGACATCATTCTCATGATCATCTCTACTTCTGAGAGCCTGCTGCAGAGAGCGTTGTAAGCCTGGGTCATGAGGTAGATGTAGCCGATTGCTATTGTGGTAAGAGCACATCTCTTCATAGAACAAATGCTTTGAGCTCAAAATTTTCCTGACATCATCCTTCTCCTTCTCCGTAAGGAACTCTATCACATCCAAAAGTGCAGGATTCTCGACCACCTGGCAAGAAGTCCCCCGACCAAGCATATCGTTGAGTTTCTTGTACCTCTTATTAAGGTCATTGAACTTATCCTCACACTGCTGAGGTGAGACATGGTAACCCCTCTCAGCCAAAACCTTCGAAATCGACTTCCATTTACCCTTTTTCTGTAAGACAGCAAACTTTCTTCGTCCCCCGCCCCCACAATCTGAACCTGAATCTTCACCTATATAGGAGACAGCAGTGATCAGAAGTTTAACCATCTTATCAGTCCATTTCACCCGTTGCCATGGTGACCCTTTTTTCCCTTTGCTTACATCATTATGACTATCAACACCATCTTCGGTAAAGCTTGGATCATCGTCATCACTCGCCGAGTTCTTGCACCTCTCCCCTTTGTTAAAATCTCCCACAGAGATCATCTGATCGCAACCTGGCAACGTTCCCATGGTAAGCGGGAAACCCTCATGGATCGAGGGGTGGACCCCAGGTGTTTGGCGAGGATGAGGGTGATGCTGCTGATGAAGAGTGTGCGATTGTTGCGCTGGACCGTGGATTTGAATTGACCTATGCAAATCTAGACCTCCATATGCAGGATTACCTGGGATCATACCTCCTTGTGACATATTCCCTTCCATTGCTTTTCGCAAACAACAATTAATCAAGACACGCGAGCTTTTCTCACTTAAAAGTTAAAACCCTATCTTATAAATTTCTTAAGCGAGCATAGCCATCTGCCAACGCAATTCATCCACCCTGAGGGCCAAAATGAAGCAAACCATCTCTTTTTTTTTTTTACCTAGCTCAAGCAAATTCCACGCACGTTTCGGGATCCTTCTGACAGTTCCCAGATCCTCAAAGCAAGCACCTTTCACATCACAGGAGCACTAACCCAACCATTACAACAAGGATCCCACAAAAAATCTCCGTGACCAAGCTTAATCCCACCGATTGCAGCTCAACCCTTCACGCATCCCCAGGCACACCAAAATCACCACAACTCGAACCAAAACACACCCAAGATTTTCAACAACCCAGAATGTTGTGCAACAGAGAGAAAGAGAACACCCACTTATCTGAGCAAGACCCTGAATAGAGCTTCGCAGCTCGACAGCACCAAGAGCATCTCCAGAAAATAAGGCGAGGAACCAAGGCAGGCGCTCACGAAAGCCAGAACCATCCGGCCTCAAGAGGGCTCTAAAGGAAGGACCTTTCTTGAGGAGGAGAGAGAGAGAGAGAGAGAGAGAGAGAGAAGCGGATTCTTGAAAAATAAAAACTCGGTCATTATATAGTACTGCACCTACAAGAAGAGGGTTTCTTGTTTTTTTCCTTCAATATTCTTATCTTTTTCTTTTGCCATTGTCGTTGTGTTCGCGTTGCGAGCATCAGATGAAGTTTTTCTGAAAAAGGGGCCTCCTTTTTGCAGGTTCAGTGTATGGAGAAAGATCCGTCGGGCCCGCCGTCGATGTCCCAATCAATCCAAAGACGGTATACAAAACTCCAGAGGCCATCATCCCCACGTCAAACCAAAGTGTATTCTATGTGGAATAATGCCAAGAATGATAAGAAAATGACAATTGGGGAGGAAAAGAAAATTGCCAACGGGACTGCTTTCTCACATATTATTGGAACCACCCCTCCCACCACAGCGATTAGCTGGGGGGAACGAGCGCAATTTGCAGTAGATTAGCATGCTTTTGTATGCTTTCGTGTGGCAACTTGTCCTCCAAGTGGGGGTTTTGATATGTTTATGTGATTAGGTGGTGCTTAAATAATGAACCGTCAGGTTGGTTATAGAATAGTATTGTTTGGCGTCATGACGAGGAGTGTTTGTGCAGTTCGGTTCGGTTCAATTCGGAGGTGTTTTTTGCCCGGGCCGAACTTATTGGTTTGAGAAAGTCTCGACTCGGACTAAACCAAGCCAATAAAATTGCAACTCAAATTGTGCCGATAACTTCGAGCTATTTGGTTTGGTACGGTTTCAAACTTTTACCGCTAAACTGATTGGTAAGTAAGAAATTCTAACACATAAGTAGATTGTCTAACTTCAACGTGGAATGGAAGTTAACAATAGATGCACATATTTCCGCACATATTTCCACACACTTACCGAAAGAAAGAAAGAAATATAATCACAATTTTCATCCGATTAAATCATTAAATACTGAGAAAACTTATTTAACTAGATAGAATGACGCATAATATCGTAGAAAAGCTCTTTCGCAGGTGTTAGTTGAGATTAGAAATCAATCAATAATAACTGACTTGAGAATTAGAAATCTCTTATTTAATAGAATAGAAGAATCTTGGATAGGCAGAATTTGCTTGGTTAGGCCAAATTCCAAATTTCATAACTATATGGACCCAATCCGACCTAACAAGCCAAGAGCGAAAACCTAAACAAAAACCGAACCGATAAATCGCTAAACTGCACTTCCTGATTTGGCTCGGTTTGTCGGGTTTTAGTTTTCCAGGAAACACGCCTAATTGCCAATGCTTCTGTTGTTCATTTTGACGGTCCATCGAGGCATGGTTGTGGAGTCGTATCCGAACACCCCTAAATCCCCCTTTAAAAACAATATTTCGTCGGATCATCGAGAAAGATACAAAAGAAGGGGCGTACGCTCACGTAAAAGTTCACATGTAAAGTTCATGCATGTAGTACAAAAAGTCGAAAATATTGGCGATTGGGTCCCCCATCGCCTTTTTCTATTCTCTTTCTTTAGGTTTCTTTTCTCCTGCCAAAAGCAATGCTCCCGTTTTTCTGTTAACACAAGTCCAAGTCCGTGACGTTGCGTTTCCCTTCTCTTTTTGAAATTGGGAACAAGGAGGTGTACTGGAGAATACAACGTTGAGAGCAACTGACTTGTGATTCAGAACAAAGAGTTGAATTGCCAACTCAGCATGAGTTGAAAAGTGCCCGAATCGACGAATTCCAAGAAGGTAGATTTGACCCAAAAAAGTTTACCGAGACCACGCAAAATTTCACTACCATTACAACAAGAGATCAGCCTCCCGAGTCAACAAATGATGCAACTAAAAAACAAATCCAGCAGACTAGATTCGGCATGCCTTATTAACAGTTCCCCCCGAGAGGCCGAAAAATTGGCTAGTTACCCACCAAAGCTACATGTGAATTAATGGTACATAGTGATATGACCCATAAAAATCAATATGTCCCGCCTTTCCCTTCAATTGCTGATAAGAAACAATCAGGATGAGAGAGATACATCAGTACAACACAGTAAAGGCAGGCAATGGATATACTTGAGACAGACAAAGTAAAGTATTAGATGTCCCGATTTAACATGCCCAAACGATTACCCTCCTCTTGTCAATCGACATGTTGGCACAATCTTACACGCATTTCAAATGCTGTCCACCGCTTTTCTTAGTTCCCGTGAAGCGCACACGAGCCATGTCAAGCCAAATCGAATGCTTAATTGACCTTCACACGATACTTGGAGGGTCCCCAACCCAGTTACACACAGCACGAGGCCACCGAGTGCGTATGCAGTCCACAAGGGGTGCATGCTGAGGAGGCTCGCGTTTAGCCACTTCAGCATCCTTTGTGCTCGACGGATCCCCACCTGAACCAGAGGGCGCTGCCGCCATGAATTCTTCGGGGGTCCATCGTGGTGGGACAGAAACTCTTAATTTAGTCAGTCTAGGCCTTTGAACTGGAGCCTCACTTCCCAAGTTCGCTTGGCCATTCAAATCAGATTTTGCAATTCCATTGAAATGGTAAAGATCAAACACCTTTTTGCCCATCAATCCAGAGGAGTCCTTTAGACCTCCCATACTGCTGTCTAGATCTAATATGACCTGCCAAAATTCACTCCACACGATAAAGCCCGAGCTGCAAAGCTGATCAACTTTTTCCGGGGGAAGCCTGACGTCAGTTTCCCTTAATACTTGATGGAATCCTTCCACACCAATAAAACCACCCCCTCCACTCTGATCTTGTGCATCAAAAGCCCTCCGAATCTGTGATTCCCTTTCTTCTAGTTCGTTCTCTTCCTGAACAATGGTATCAAGAGCAAATAGAACTGTGTAATGGGACTCACTTCCCACAACCCATATAGGCCAGTTAGGGCACTTTAAATGCTGACCAACCTTGCAAAAGTTAAGTGATTCTAACAGAGTCAGAAACCCAACTTCCACGCATGTTGATACACCCTTTAAAAACATACCACCGCCAAGATCCATCCTTCCATCGAAAACATTGGGCACAGCCTGCCCGCAAAGTAGCAAGTTTACAATTTCCTGCCCCAAAACAATCGTAAGTTTGCATCAAAATTTTCTCCACATCTTCACCATATAGCATTAGCACAGTAAATAAGACACAAGGTATTTATCAGAAACATCGTAACTGCTGAACCACCAAATGGAACAATAAATTCTTAACGCAATGATAGTTACCTGCGATGCATGACCAAATGGTGCAGTTACCAGAGGCAGACTGGGATCATCTCTGTCAGCTTGAACGGCATCCTGCAATTACAGAATGCCTCGACACCATTATTTCCTTTGTTTGTTCATCATCAACTACATTTCCTTTTGCATTAGTTTTCCAGCGGATCAAATTTCTTATTATTTCAGATTGTCGGTTATTATCCCAGCATCCTTTCTGTGGCCTAACAATATAGCATGATTTGAAGTCTCGACCAACATAAGTATTTGATCACTTCTGAGTTCTGACTTTTGGGCAAGAAATAAAGAGTAACTAATAAAAATGAAAAACCATTCTGACTAATGACAGGTGGATGATACGAGCAGTACTGTACTAATATCGATAGGAATCATAGAACTTAGGCGGCCAAAAGAATAGGAAATAGAGCTGCTCCTCCTGAATCAAGGAAAAAAGGTTTCATGCCCAAGGCAGATACCATCGCTTTGCAACAAATTCGATTAATAAGGCTAATGGAAATGAAAACATTGGCCGTGTCAGATACGTGTTTTAATCTATGAACATATACTGTTAAAATATTTAGCTCTTAAAGAAAGAGTAATTGGATAGCAACCAAAGTAAATGGGAATAGACACAAATATCTGCAAACTAGTAGTTGACAAGCTTGCCAGATAATTAGTATGAGGGAAAAGGTAGCATACCAGTCCACGAGAAAGTAAAGCGGAGATAAGAAATAGCAGCGCTCCCATTCGACTTTGAAAAACGGGAAGTGTTGCTTCAAGCCTTCGGAAAACAGTAGCATGCACACTATAAGTCTCGACTCTTAGAATTTTCTGCAAATCAGAAGCTGACTCTATCGGAAGTCCCTCCAGAGCTTTAATAGTACCCTAAGAAACAAAAAATAATGGCAATGAGTTTAATTAATTTAAAAAGGAACTTCCAAAGGCAAGTCAAACAGTAGAATCAAAACCTATATTGCTGCCTTAAAAGTACATGAAACACCAACCTATCGCCTACCTCATCCTTTGAACCATCCGCAGCCCCCTCAAGTTCTTTACCAGTAACGCTTAAAGTGGCAATAACTGCCCTTTTATTACTTCCACAGAGAAATAAAATCTCACTCATACTTCTTATCAGTGCCCTGTCATTGATAATAAGAAAAAAAGACATTGCTGGTTATCTCAGTTAATTTCTATTCCAACTTGCATATCAAAGTAGCACAGCTAATGGAAACAAAAAAAACAACCACTAAACTGTGAGACAAACAACCTTCCAACCAACAACATACCACATGTAACCATTTTCACGCTTAGAATATATTTGAAGTTGTTGCATTATTTCTACTAGCTCATTTATAGAGTAAAACGAGTTCCACAAAATTGGGATAAATCAATTAAAAGGATTTGGTTTGCAGCGACTCAACATCAGTCCTTGTCAGAAAATATTTGGAAATTTCTAGTACTGAAGGGCATCGGTCCACATCCAATAGATCATAACGACAGGTAAACTAGGAAAGAGGAAGTCTCCAAAAGATACCTTTTAACCTATTCGTCATCAAAGCCCACAACCTGTCTTTACCCTAGCCAAGAAAGGGACCAGTGCGTTGCAACAGGCAATAACAAATTGATCAAGTAATAGCAAAAGCATTTAAATAATTGACATACATGTCCAGGTTTTACTATTATCACGTGTTAATCAACAAACTTAGTTTACCAAATCACAAGTCCAGGTTATGGTTTGGGAGCAGAACCTTGCCATTGCGTTCCTTGTAATTTTTTCAATTTTTCAAAAGTTTTGGCATTCTATACATATGCCAATCAATATAATCTAAAATATGAGCAAAAGTGAGCTGTAATCGAAAGAGACAGCCAATAGCTTACAGAACTAAACGAAAATCAACCACGTGGAGAAAAATCAACCAAACAACCTAAACATGATTGCTGATGAGGACAATGTACTCAACCCAACCAAAAAACTCAAACCAACCAAAAAAAATGAGGAAGTAAACAGAAGCAGAAACAGAATTCCACTAACAGCAGGCAACAACCAAGAAAACAATAAACTCTCTATAGATTAATTACCTCAATTTTTCACTGTCTATAAGGGAGGCAAAATTATCTGAACCTTGAAATTGTCTTCGAGATGATGCTTTTGGACCAAGGTTTGGTGAAATAGTCGATGCAGCTTTATGCAAATCGTCCGGAAAGAAAAGAAGATACTTGAGAACAAAAGCCTACACGAGGAAACTTTTATTATTGCAAACAACATTAGTAAAAGAATACAACATGATCCTAAAAGCAGACAATGAAACCAACTAGATAGGCACTAAAATGTTGACAGCCATAAACCTGTCCCAGAAACTGTCTCAAATAAGTGATCACAAAATGCACCCAACACGCAACACCACATCACCAGTATCAACCCACAACATTAAATTTATTCACCACAAAAACCAACTGTCAATAAAATATTACGACTAAAAGAATATAATGATGGATGCCGGATAGATTAAAACTCTGCCAAATTGTAAGTTCAACATGTAGCCGCCTGCATTCACTAACAACATGATTGATTGATTTTGTTGTCATTATATAGTTATTTGTTCGCTCTATTGCAAACTCAACAATAAGCTGTAGAGCCTGCCTGCCAATAGATCATAGTGATGAAAGCTGCATTCAGTATATATACCCATTTCCTAAATGAATTCAAGACATCCTCTTCGACGATGTCCTAATATTCAAGGAAAAACCATATGCAAAGCCATCTTTATGAGACCAAACATAGTTCAGGCCAGATTGAGACCCGACCTAAAATTGATGTTTTTTCCAAGGGAATTGGGCCCTTAGGATCCCAATAGACACGCTTCACATTTCTAGAAGTCAAACACAGAAGATTTTGAAAGGCATACTTGCTAAGTACTTATCAGCAGAACTGGTTCATAAACCAATAGCCTTGTATCTCCACAATATAAATTTGACAATTATAAAACCTAAATGCAACAAACACAATATACATCCTAAAATAGCAGTGTGCGATGTTGAGAAAACAAGGCATTACTTGTACAGCTGCTAAGACACCGCAGGGCCCTCCTTCATGCTGCACTAGGCCCATGGATGTTTCTGGATCAGGGCTAAACCTGAAGTGAGGCTTCGATGGCATTAGTCAGCTAGGTGTATAAGACCCTTAATTTAAATCATCAATATAAGTTTTACAGCAGCATAGATGATGCAAATGTAGTGAGCAGACAGGAGAATCAATGAAAAACAAACTTCTCTAGTGAAATGAACACGGATACCAATAAGACTTCGTACAGATATTAGAGCAGTCAATTTCACTAGGATCACTATACAGGTAGTACATCACCAGATTGCTCAGGCATAATCAACAAAAGAAGAGCCTCCAACATTAAAAAGTTGATTCTCGTGTCCACTAAATATCTTCCCTTCACTCTGTATTTGCCAAAAGGTTGTCCAACAAGATTTTTAGAAGCAAGTGATCAGGCATATCAACATGGATTGCTAACTGGAGTCAACAACGCATTCCAACGTCAATTTACCACTATGATTCATCTCTTTCTTCCAGATACATCCTAAAACTACCTTACTATACTTTTTATTAACTTGTCGTCAAGTCAAGCATAAGTAGAGCGGGTAACTTACAAACTAACACTGCAGCATGGCAGCAGCAAAAACAAAGAGATGCAATCGACATCCAGCCTTTAAAAGATTATCCATCAGCATCTTCATTTATATACTCCATACTTAGCTCTTAAACCGACTAGCGACATCTTGCTTTTTCTTCTATTGCTAAGTGAAAAAAAGACATGCAAATAAAAGTAACAGAAATACAATTTTCAATTATCCACAATGTGTCCCGGAAGAATCTTTAAAAGCACATTGCCTGATTTTTTTTAATCACAGAATTGATGAGGCATAATCAACATGAGAAGCTGTTCGAAGAAAATGATGCACACGCACCAACTCAAGGCATAGCACAATTTTTTAATTCACTTCCAATGCAATCACTGTGATGCCTCTCTTACTTCTAAAGACGTCATAAAACTATCTGAGTCAACTTTATGTTGCCTTATTGACCTCAAAGGAAGAGTGAGCAGATAATAAACATTAACTATGGCTACAAAGGAACCGCAAAGCGATGTTGCACTTCCAAATTCTAAACAACTATTTAGTCGCACTGTTTAATCATATGCTTACTCCATACTCAGCTCATAAACCAAATGCGAAACATAAATGCAAGAATTGACAAAGAAATCCAAATGAATGGCATCCAATATCAATTGCATCTCCGTTATATATACATTATAAGGATTTGCACAAGACAACTCGCTCAAACTCACAGATTTGTACCCATAGAACAAACACCGTTCCCAATTACATCGAATCATGAGAATTTTGTTATGGGTTCCTGGGATTAACTATGATTAATAGCACAGAACAATCAGAAGAGAAATTCAGCACATTTCGGTCGCCTGCACCCCATACCTTATTCCTTGATTACTCCACTGCGCGAGAATTCCTCTCGAAACATCGCCCCCGAAAACCATCGAGAACAACTGATGCGCTTCTTCGCTCGACAGTCCCCTCCCAGTTTGCCCATCATCCACACCGAATCCCCCGTCTCTCCTCGGGACAGGCTTAGACTTCTCGTTATTCGGCGTCGTCGACACCGGCGACGGGGACTGTGACGGAGACGGAGCAGGCGACGGAGGCGACGCCGCTCCAGCGCTCCTCGCGGCCAGCATCCTCTTCTCGGCCGCGGCGGCCATGAGCTCCCTCTGCATCCGGCGGCCGTCCTCCGGCGACGAGCACCCGGCGCGGCGGCGGAGGCGGCGGCGTCCCTGGGCTTGCTCCGCTTGGGCTCCGGCGGCGAGTGCTGCATGCTGAGGCGCAGCGCCATCTTCAGGTCCTCCTCCTCCTGATCCGCCATCAGCGACCGCCCCCCGCCGGCCCCGCGGAAAGGGATCTCGAAAAAAAGCGCCGAGGAGAAGAAGCAGAGGAAGCGATCTAGGGTTTCTCCCCGGGCGCTCCACCGGCTACTCCATCATCGGCGTCGTCGAATCGGCGGCGGTTCGCGGAGATCGACGGCGAAGGGAGGATCGATCGCGCCGGGGGGGAGACGGTCGGAATCGAGGAGGGAGGATCGAAAGCTTTTCTCTGATCCGGGGGGGGGAGGGGCTCGGAATCGCGCCGATTTAAAACATTTCAGAGGAGGATGATCGTCGGGGAAGAAAGGAATCGCAGTTCCTTCTTCGTTTCTCTCTCCCTCTCTCGTCGTGGAACGAAAACGTCGTCGTTTCGCCTCGAGGCAAAACGGCGCTGAGGAAGGAAGCCTGGCAAAGTTAACGTGTGGTGGGGCGTGGGGGACTAGTGTGGTTTGCTCGAAGAAATGGAAAGACCGATTATTTTTGTTGTTTTTTTTTTTCTGTGAATAGAAATGGAAAAATTGATTCGCAATATCTCTCTTGATCAACCCTTTTTTCGAGCATTAAAATAAAGATTAGAAATTGTCGGGTTTCGAGAAAAAAATTGACCATGCCCGCGCACGTGACGCGTACTGATAGGATCGTTGTGAAAGGATAGAGTTTTTGGGTATTAAATGCGTGAAGCCACGAGAAATTAATTTTAATAATCGAATCATTCTGATCATTCGTGAGATCGAAATTATTAACTACCGTGTTCGTTTTGAAAATGTAATTTATGTGTGGATTTTTTTGGGCAAAGTTAGGTTATAGGCTGACGGGCAGATTCATGGCCTGAGAGGCACCTCCTTCTCCGTTTATTTTTCGCAAGCTGATATAACGGGGTGTAGTCATAATAGTTGATTTCTCTATTTTCTTTCGAGATTAAGGAAAAAGAAAATTTGCTCCTTCAATTGAAAAGAATATAAATAGATTAAAGTGGAAAAAAGTTACAAAACACTCCAAACTATTTCTAATATGACACGTTTTATATTGACACTAAAAACTATACCCATCAAAAATCCAAAATATGTCCGCCTTGACATAGTTATCCTAAACTTTATTTTGTACATATGTGACACATTTACCCACTTCCATCAATGTTTCGTTAGATGATTTTTCAGTCAAGATAACGTCGATTTTATTTCATTTAAGTCACGTGAGTATCATAGGCAGATTTGGCAAAATCTCGATGGAGGTAAATGTATCACACATATAAATTTGAGATTTTTTATATTATAAAAAAAATTTAGAGTAGATACGATACAGTCACAGTAGACACGATTTGAAATTTTTGACGTCTTTTTTCCTTGTATTAAAGCAATATCTATGTTCGTCTAAAATTTCAAATTTTTGACAGTCACAATGGAGGCTTAGGCTCGAAGAAATTTCAAATTTTTGACGTCTTTTTCAAATCCTAAGAAAATACATTATTGTTTTTTTCTTAATTTTCGTCTACAGTAGTTTCCTTTCGCTCTCTCTCTCTCTCTCTCTTTCTTTTCCTTATTTTTCTTATTTATTTTTATCCGCCATTTTACTTTTCCCCTTCTTCTCCACTCCCTTCCTCCCTTCCTTCTCCGCCATAGCCGCACAGCCCGAAAGTTCAATTACGCTCGCCGCCAGCAAGCAAAGGCTCGGCGAATCTCCTCCCGATCCGATCGAATCCGAAGCGAGCGAATCGCCGGGGGAATGTCGAGCGACAGCGACGACCTCGACGAGGACGAGCTCCTCCAGATCGCCCTCAAGGAGCAGGCGGAGCGCGATCTCAGCTACCAGAAGCCCGGCCCCAACCCCCGCAAGCCCGTCGCCAACTACGTCCAGCCGCCGCCCGCCCCCGCGGCCCACCCCCACCAGCAGAGGAGCTCCGCCACGGCCCCGCCGCCGGCCGCCGCGAGGGCCGGCTACGGCGGCGCGCAGCGGCAGATTGGGGGCGGCGGCAACAAGAACAGGGGCAGCAGCAACGGGAATAGGAGGGTGGTCGACGACGATGACGATTCGGACGTCGAGATGCTGAGCATCTCGAGCGGGGACGAGGATTCTGCTAAGGATCGCGCGGGTTCGAGGGCTAGAGGTGGCGCGAGTGGTGGTTCGAGGCCCGGGAGGGACGACGACAGAGCGTGGGATGGCGAAGAACCTGATTGCTGGAAGCGCGTGGACGAAGACGAGGTGAGATCGAGACGGTAAACCTTAACTATCCGGTCTTCTTTTAATGGCAAGTGTATCCGCAGATGTCAAACGATTTCATTGGGTGTTCTGCACTGTGCGCAGCCTTAGTTAAAAAATGCTACAGTATCTTGTAAACTCTATCTTGGATGAATTCTATAGGTGATATACTTGGTCTATGTTCTTGTGCTTGGGACATTATCATTGCAGGATTGCAGCAATTCTGAATGATAGCAGAAGCTATTAAACCAAAGTGATGCCAATATCTAGTTATTTTTTCTTTCTTTTGCTGTAGAGGGAACGAAGTCACTCCCGTGATTTTTGCTACAAAATGATTGTTTTGGGTTAAATTACTGCCAAGTTTCTCGGAATTATAGAAATGATGATTCAGTCTTCAGTTGAAGTTGCTCTTTTCCGACAGCTTGCTCGTAGGGTTCGTGATATGCGGGAAACGAGGGCAGCACCTGTAGCACAAAAACTGGAAAAGAAGGTATCAGTAGTGGGTAAAAAGGGGCTCAACACTTTGCAGTCTTTCCCTCGTGGCATGGAATGTGTTGACCCACTTGGCTTGGGGTAATTTTCTGCTCTTTCTCTGTCTAATTTTTCTAGAGCCCCGAGGTAATCGGCATTGTCCTGGCTTTACTCTGGCCTGTTCCCCTGTATTCAATGTTATCTGATGTTAAGCGGCTTATTGTTGGTGAGACACTATCACAGCTCTGCTCCTGTTTTGGAGCGAGCAAATTCCGTTTGTATCTGATTTTAAGTCGATTTGAACCTGTATGTTCTTATTTTTACCTTTACTTATTGACAATTGCATTAAGAATGACAAAGCTATGTAGATTTTGACTATCTCATAATTTAGAGTTTTGTGATCTAGTCCTTTGATTGCTTTTGCCTTTTGCTCATTCTTGCCGACAGGATTATAGACAACAAATCACTACGGTTGATTACAGAAGCGTCAGAAAGTTCTCCGTCAAAGAGTGGCAAAGATAATGTGGATAACAGCCTTCGTGGTACTCTTTTATCTTCTATCACCTTTTAGTATGACTATCTGCCATACTTTAGTTGAGTGGATGCCCTCTTTGGATGTTCTCGTCTTCCTACATTCATGGACCTTGTCCTCCAAACAGCTGAGGATTGACCCAAAAGTGTTCCTCTTTGTATGCGAGCCCTAGCTTACCCTCTGTAGAACTACTTTACTGAGAAATCTTTCATTAACAGTTTTTCTTTGTTAATGCTCTAGCACGTTTTTTTCTAGATCTCCCACCCTGATGTTCCTTGTTTTTGGGGGTAAAATGCGTGTTGCATAATAGATCTTAGAAAATACTGAAAAAGTTATAGAGAACATAAAAACTTCTGTGTAAACTAAAAATATTAGCAAAGTTGTGGACCTTGTGGTGCATTTTCATGGTTGTTAAATGATCCTGTTATATGAAGTGACTGGTATATGAAGCATGAATATGAGCTTGCATGTATACTATACTTCTCAACAAGTCTTGTTGCGAGACTTGTACTCATATTCTTTAGCCCCTCAACATATATTATATTCTCATGATTTTCTCCCGGTAGAAGTAAAAGGGCCATTGCTAAAAAGGAAGTCACATCATTAGGATTTAAGTTTAGTGGAGAGTTCGGTGTTTATGGCGAATCTTCTCATCAAACTTACAATGCTTCATTGCTTCACCTGATTGATTTGTCATTGCACAGGTGAGCCCGCATTTGGTTTAAATATTTTGTGGATTCAGTAATTTCTTTAATATATTATTGGCCATCTTTCTGATTTTCTTGCATCTTAGTTCTGGAATTTTTCATCCAATGCTTCTTTTAAGTCTGAGCAATGCTGGTGCTTTGGAGCTGTTTTTTGGACCTTAATTTAGTTGCCATCATTGACACCAACCCTTGCAGAGAAGCTGATGTACTTCTCGGAAAATTTTGATGCTAAGATTTTCTTATCCCGGATACACCAAGATACAAGTGCAGCAGACTTAGAGGCTGGTGCTCTTGCTCTGAAAACTGATCTTAGAGGAAGGACTCAACAGAGAAAGCAATTGGTTAAAGAAAACTTCGATTGCTTTGTCTCATGTAAAACCACAATTGACGGTACGTGGTGATCCTGTCCAATCTGAGGGCCTATCTCTGATTCTATCAAGCTACTAACTATTTTTTGCTGCAATGGGTATTATATTACTTGTTTAAGTAATTCTGCCTGCCAATTTCTTCAGTTTTTTTAATTTGATGAGTCAAATGTTCATTTTATCAGACATTGAATCGAAACTAAAACGGATTGAAGAAGACCCTGAAGGCACAGGGACTGCTCACCTATTTAATACTATTCAAGATGTAAGCTCATTGGCTAGTCGTGCTTTTGAGCCTCTCTTTGAGAGACAGGTTAGTAGCAACAATTACTGCTCATGCTTTCTGCATACGTACACTTTGTTGCGAGAGGCACTGTAAGTGATTAATGACTTGTTGAATTTAAATATAGGCTCAAGCTGAGAAAATTCGTTCTGTCCAAGGAATGCTTCAAAGATTTCGAACTCTGTTCAACTTGCCTAGTACAATTCGTGGGAGCATCAGTAAGGGTGAGTACGACTTGGCAGTTAGGGAATACAAGAAGGCGAAGTCAATTGCTCTACCATCTCATGTAAGATTTTTATGGAGCCTCATTATTTTGCCGGGACTGATCTAATCTCTAGTTTGGTGGTCTTTTTGTAAAGTGCAAGTTCCACAATTAGGATGAAATGTGTGTGGATCTCTACTTTATCATTTAGCTGACCAGCGTCGTGACATTCTTTAGAGAATGGTTCTCATGAACGATTAAGCAAGCATTGTGAACATTATGACCATAGCCTTAGCTATGCTGACTGAGAAGTTCTGATCTTTAGAATTGATGTTGTAGCAGACGGACAACATCTCCCCTAAGTATAAGTTTTTCTCCCAGTAGGGTGGCCTCATTAGGTGGATATAAAATCAATCTGGTTGAGTATTGGTATTTTTGTGGGGCATCAAACTGGATGATTTAAGAAAAGAAGTGTATGCCAGCCAGTCATCAAGAGAAAACCTGA